TACGCACACCTGCTCACTCACACACCCTGCCCTCCCCATCCCCACCTCGCCAGCTGAACGTGTGTCTGCTCTTCGGGGCTGCCTGCACGGGCGCCAACGTGTTTGGCGAGGCGTGCGGCTTCTTTAGCAAGTGAGTGCTGCGCTCTCTGCCTCTCGCCTATGCTATCCCATGTGCTGTTGTAACTCGTTTACTCTACGTATCAACGTGTTTGGCGAGGCGTGCGGCTTCTTCAGCAAGTGAGTGTTCTCATGTTCTTTCTGGTTTCTCTCCACTTGCTCTCTGCCCGCTCTCATCTACCTTTTCTACCTTTTCTCCTTTTCTCTACGTATCAACGTGTTTGACGAGGCGTGCGGCTTCTTTAGCAAGTGAGTGTTCCCATGTGCTCTCTGGTTTTGAGGCATCTCAAAACTTTCTCAGCAAGTGAGTGCTGCACTCTCTGCCTTCTCTGACTCTCGCCTCTGCTGTCTCATGCGCTCTTGTAACTCGGTTACTCTACGTACCAACGTGTCCGGCTGAGTCGTGCGGCTTCTTGAGAAATTGAGTGCTGCACGCTCTGCGAGCGTGAAGGTTTTTGACTGCATGGACCTACGCTGCCTCTCGCCTCCTCATGCACTTGTTCCTTCCACTCTCTCCCACTCCCTTATCGCAGCACCTGTGCGGCAGTCCTGACAGCAACCAACACATGCACCTACGCCAATACCTCACTCCCTTCTCCCCTCTCACCCACTCATTCCACTCGCTCCACCCACTCGCTCCTCCCACTCCCCCGTCACAGCACCTATGCGGTGGTCCTGACAGCAACCAACACATGCACCTACAGTTCTCCCTTCTCCCCGCTCCCCACTCACCTCTCACTTGTTTTTTCCCCCGTTCCCTTCTTCACTCCCGCTTCCCAACAACAGCACCTACGCGGCGGTCCAGCCAGCGACCAACACATGCACCTACGCCAAGACGTCAGTCGCGTTTGCCTTCCTCGCCTCTTTCGCATTCGTGGGCACACACTGGTGAGTGCAGCTGAAACTTACAGAAAATACAGCATATATAGTTAGCACTCTGTGATGATGTAGCGCTCGCGTTTTAGCGAGAGTAGCGAGCACTATATAGTGAGTACGAGAGGGAGGACGCAATGCTATCGTTTATACCGTGGATTCAGAAGTGGAAACCATGGGCATGCAACTTTGTTTCTCTCCTGTTCCCTCTCCAGTTCAGCTTCATTAACCATCTGCCCCTTCTCATTCCTCTACTTATGTGCTTGTTTGCTTGCAGGTACTATGTCTTTGCCATGAAGCGGGGTTAATGGGTTAATAGTTTACTCATGCTCTGGAAGAATTGGGATTGCTCCAGTTTCCATTGCAAAGGAGGTTAAACGATGGGGGTTATCAAGATCTAACCTAGTGCATGATAGAGTGGGTTGGATATCCTACACACTGTTTATGCTGCTTGTACAGAGCTTGCCATAAAGAGAAGCCAACCAGCTGTTCGTTTCGTTGGCTGCCGGCTTTTCGATATATCTTGCTCTGGGTTTGTTTCGATGTAAACATTATGGAGTTGAGTAGTCTTTGTGGCGCATTGCACGCCGTCAAGAATTCACGCAGCATGGGCCGTTAGGTGCATTTATCTCAGTTTCACAACTAATGCACATCAACGGTAGCATGACAAGGTTTGACATACCGTAATCGCGTAAGAAGATAGAAGCCAAAAGGAAAAGGAAATGCATGCAAGTTTTCTGGAAACTATACAGGTCAGTCAGGTATTGACTGTTTGATAAATACCAGTAGCACAAAAATTTGTTTCCACAAGCTTTACCGCCTGTAATAGGACACGAGTGCGTAGTACCTGCGGAAACAAAACGATTGGCATGGGGGGTACAGATGGGTGTCACCATATCAAGGCCAAGGCACCATGAGTGACGTTGTGAAGGCAGTCAATGGGAGCAATTCGTTGAGGTTGAAGTTGAGATTGATCAAAATTACCGAGGGATAGTGGGAGACGTCCGAAGAGAGAGTGAGAGAGAGAAAGAGAGAGAGGGAGAGAGAGAGAGAGAGAGAGAGAGAGAGAGAGAGAGAGAGAGAGAGAGAGAGAGAGAGAGAGAGAGAGAGAGAGAGAGAGAGAGAGAGAGAAGGGAAGGGGGGAGAGGGGAGAGGGGGAGGAGAGGGACGAGAGGAAGAGGTGAGGGAAACAGTCTCATACCAGAATCCGCAAATGTAGGTAAAGGAGGCAATGAAAGCCATGGAAAACGATCCCCTCACCAGCTCGCAGTCTTGGCCAGCGTGACTGCAGCAGGTAAATAAAGTATTGGGGGTGGGGGGGAGGGTGGGGGGGTTGGTATAGGTGCGCATGATACGCATTAATCTAGGTTTGGTTGCCGATTGTTTTTTCCAGTTGTTCGACACACATGGAAGTGTTTTCTGCTGGTAACGAAGAATAGAGCGAACTGTAGCACGAGACGAGATCCGTTGGCCAAAGAAAGAAAAGAAATTATAATAATAACACTTTGTGTGCGACAGCGGAGCACGCACTAGTATTTGCCATTGTAGGAGGAAAAGTAGCCGCATTCCGATTCCGTCGTACCCACCGCGCACGTGCACGCCGCCGCGAATAGGAGCAGCGAAAGCAGCTGCGCGGGAGCAACGAGGACGGGGAGGCGGACGGACGGATTGGTGGGTGGGAGGCAGGGAGGAGGGAGGGAGGGAGAGGGGAGGAGGGAGGAAGGGAGGGGGGGAGGGAGTGGGGGAGGGAGGGAGTGAGTGGGGGCGGGAGGGAGGGAGGGAGGGAGGGAGGGGGGAGGGAGGGAGGGAGTGGGGGAGGGAGGGAGGGACGGGGGAGGGAGGGAGGGAGAGAGAGTGGGAGGAGGGAGGGAGGGAGGGAGGGAGGGAGGGAGGGAGGGAGGGAGGGAGGGAGGGAGGGAGGGAGGAGGGAGGGAGGGAGTTAGGGGAGGGAGGGAGGGAGGGAGGGAGGGAGGGAGGGAGGGAGGGAGCGGGGGGGGGAGGGAGGGAGGGAGCGAAAAAAAGAGAGACGATCTGAATATGCTTGAATTGATGCCAGGATATGAGCTGCTTGGGAGTCAGTCTAACAATCCGCGAGATTGACTCACCCAGACTCGGAAGAGGTGCAGCTTTTCCACCCTGCAAAATTCCAGCGTGCGACGGTACTCACCCAGCCCTCGACGACTTGGAAGAGGCGCAGCTTGCCCTGGAAGCGCCGGAGCGCGGAGAAGAAGAGGGACGCGACGAGAATCACGAGGAGGGGCAAGGAGAGCGTGAAGCCGATGACGGTCGTGGCGAGCAGGAACGCGCCCGCGTAGTTGTCGGTATATCCCGAGTAGCCGTCGTCAATTATGATGATCAGGCTGAGAGCAACAGCGGGAAGGGAAGAGGAGAAAAAAGGAAAGGAAGGGGGAAAGAGGGGGGAAAGAGCAGGGGTGAACCGGAGGAGGTGGAGGGGTCGCTACGAGCAGATAGGTGATACTACTCGAACTCATGTTTGGTGTGAATCTTTCGTAGGTGGCGTTTGTTTAATGGGAACGAGTCGTCGTCATGACGTTTGCGTCGAACGCAAATGGCGGCGTCTCATCGCAAACGACTCACATGAAGGAGGTGGCAGCTCGACAACTCGAAGCCCGATGCCGATGAACGTCGACATCCTCAACGCCTCTACAAATAATTGGGCCCGCCAGACGCCCCACCCGAGCCTACTATATTTGAGGCGCCTAAAATAAATAGACATCCGTCGACGACCCACATGAGCAACGAGGCGACTTGTGAGTCGACTCACACGAAGGAGGCAATGCAGGAGGCAAGCTCGACGGCTCGCAGCCCGATGCCGATGAACGGACTCGACATCCTCGACGACCCGCCCGACTCGGGTTCCCCGCCAGTCGCGGCGGATGGCTTCCCCGCGCCGCCGACCGCCTCAACGTCCGCGTAGCAAGGGTTTGCGCCCGTCGGAGGATAAATAGGCGGAAGCGCGTAGTTTGGCGATGGGGGGTTATCAGCGGCGTACGGCGGGATGCTCTCAGGAGGAGGGTATTCGGCGGCCATGGCGTTTGGCGGCTAGCGGTGGGAGCTAATTATTTCAGAAAGGGAGGCTGATATGGATTTTTTGCGGCGTCGAAGTGAGATAAACTCGAGCGGCGCTTTCCGTTGAATAAATCACCTCTGCAAGAAAACTAATATAGTTTTTTGGTTGGGTATCTCCGTTGTGGCCATATTGAGAGCACGGGCCTTTTTACGTTTGTCAGAGGAATCGGGGCTTGGTTGGATGAATGTGCTGTTGGGGTGTTGAGTGTGGCAATTTATTACGGTGTAGTGTGGTGCTATGATTTGCAATTGGCTGTTGCACGGTGAGCTTCGAAAGTGCCACGCAGGATGATCGCTCCCAGAAAGGGGGAGGGATGGAGGCTAAGAAAGGGTGTGCGGCGCGGGCGAGGTAAGTGCCATGCCGTGCTGTGCTGTGCTGTGCTGTGCTGTACAGTGTACGAAAATTGCACCGAAGGTTGTGCCTGACGAGACGAGGCGACCGGATGGGAAGGGGGCGAATTGCGCGCGCCGAGGGAATTCAGCACTTTCCATCGAGTCAACAAGGTAAGTGTAAAGAGTAAGAAATGTACTGTACTAGTTTTTCATTTTGACTGGAATTATGCATTTGGATATATCAGGGGGGAAATGATGAAAGATACTGCTGGCACAGATGATTTGCTAGAAATACAAGCACACAGAAAAAAACGTGGTGAGAGGCTACAGGAAATTAGCCTACGTTTATTAGCTAGAACACATCTTCTGTGGCCCTGTTGCAATTGATTAGCAGCCTCCTCCACACTCTGAAAAGAGTTCCCAGAGCATTCATTTTAGTGTAGCACATCAATGCTAGCATGACAATGACACAGGTTGATTAAAAGCAAACAGAGGGTAAGTTTTACGGAAGAGCCTTTTGAACCTGTACAGACCAGGCAGCTATTGACTGCTCAATAAATAGTGCCCCACTTTTTCCGCCATATGCTTTATCGCCTGCGGTATGAGATGAGTGCGTAGTACCTGCGGAAGCAAAACGTTCGGCAGAGGAAATGGGTAACATGACAAGGTATCAATTACATGACAAGGTACCAGAGCAGGACAACACGAGTGACATTGTTAAGACAGTCAATGGGAGCAAGAGGGTGGGGATGAAGGTGTGTGTGTGTGTGAGAGAGAGAGAGAGAGAGAGAGAGAGAGAGAGAGAGAGAGAGAGAGAGAGAGAGAGAGAGAGAGAGAGAGAGAGAGAGAGAGAGAGAGAGAGCATACCAGAGTCCGCCAATGTAGGTAAAGGAGGCGAGGAAGGCCATGGCGACGGATCCCTTGATCAGCCCGCAGTCATTGTTGGCAGGACTGCAAAATATCAAGAATAGAGGGGGGGAGGGGGGGAAAGGGGGGAGACTGAGTTTTTTGAGTCTTCTAAAAGGTAAAGGAGGCGAGGAAGGCCATGGCCACGGATCCCTTGATCAGCCCACAGTCATTGTTGCCGGGACTGCAGCATTTCAAGAATGGAGTAGTGGGGAGGAAAGGGTTGCAGTGAAAAAATGATAGGTTATAAGCATATTAGATTCTGTTCGATTGTTGATCAATTGTCAAGTTGTTTTGACATTCATAAGGTGTTTAAGGCTTTTCCGACTGCTTGCAACATCTGCAAGAAACATTGCATACTGTTGCATGCGATTGGATGGCGAGGGAAAAGCTCTCCTTGCGACAACGAAAAGCGCATATGTAGACACCACAGTAGCTGCTTCTCGACGAGCCGACGCAGCTCGACGCCTGTGTGCCCGCTGTGCTTTTGAGGCGCCTCAAAAGGCAAAACAAAGCTCTCTTTGCGACAGCGAAAGACTCACATGTGGACGCCCCAGTAGGTGCCTCCCTCCGTGTTGACGCAGCCCGACGCCTGCGCGCCCGCCGTGCACGCCGCCGCGAAGAGGAGCAGCGAGAGCAGCTGCGAGGGAGCAACGAGGACGGGAAGGGGGACGGACGGATGGGAGAGAGGGAGGGAGGGAAGGAGGGAGAGAGGAAGAGTGAGCGGATTGAAACCTCGGCGGCTGAGGAAAGAGAGTCGGGATGAACAGTGCGGGCGAGAAAACGCGTGACGGACTCACCCAGCGCCAGGCGACTTGGAAGCGGCGCAGCTTGCCTTGAAAGGGGCGGAGCGCGCTGCGCACATCAGAGTCGCATGATATGGGGGCTGGGCAAAGAAGCTGTGCTTTCTACGAACCGCGAGCTACGGACTCACCCAGTTCTCGACGACTTGGAAGAGGCGCAGCTTGCCCTGGAAGGGGCGGAGCGCGGAGACGAAGAGCGACGCGACGAGAATGACGAGGAGGAAGAAGGAAAGGATGAAGCCGATGATGGTCATGGCCAGCAGAAACGCGCCCGAACTGAGCTTCGTGTAGTCGTACTTGGTTGACACGAGCAGGCTGCGCGCAACAGGGTGAGAGGGGGGGAAGAGGAGAAAGAAGGAAAGGAAGGGGGAAAAGAGGGAGAGAGGGCGAGGGTGAACCGGAGGAGGTGGAGGGGTCGTTACGAGCAGGAAGGTGATGCCCGCACGGCTCACGAGAAGGAGATAATGCATTGGAGCAGCTCGCGATGCGACAGAGTAAAGTTACGAGATGACTAGTAAAGTTCTGAGACGTCTCGAAATTTCTCCTACTATCACGGGGCAAACCACTCACGAGAAGGATATCATGCAGAAGAGAAGCTGCGCGATTCGCAGCCCGATGCCGATGAACGTCGACATCCTCGACGCGCCACCCGAGCCGCCGCCAGTCGCGGCTGGCGGCTTGCCCGCGCCGCCGCCCGCCTCAACGTCCGCGTAGCCCGCAGGTGGAGGAGGGTTTGCGCCCGTCGGTGAGTATGCTGGCGGCGGCGCGTAGTTTGTCGGCGGCGGAGCGGAGGCGTACTGCGGGTTGCTCTCAGGAGGAGGGTACTCGGCGGCCATGGTGTTGGCGGCTAGCTGTGGGAGTGGCGTCAAAAAAAGAGACCGAGATGGAGTCGCACGCGCTGACACGTGAGAGTAACTGGAATATCGCTGGGTATTTGGCTAAATTACGTCTTGTAGCTGTATTTCACTTTCTTGATTTCGGCTCGAAAGCTGCGCTTTTTATGCTTGTCGAGGGAAGGAAGGGAGCTAAGCCGGATGGCGTTCTGGTGCGGTAAGATGCGGTGCAAAGGTGTTGGATTGGCTGTTACAACGATAACTAGGTTCCGCAGGAAGGAGGTTGGCCCCAGCCCCAGCTGAGGAGGCGGCCGAGAAATGGTGGGCGAGGTAAGTGCTGAAATTGGCGAAAATTGCGGGAAAGGTTGCCTGGCGAGGCGACGGGAAGGGGGCGAATTGCGTGTGCTGTGGGTATTCAGCCTCCTCCAGCCTCCTCCACCCTCCAGCCAGTATCAACCGAGCCGCTTCTATGAGCCAGATTCGTGAGCTTCGTGTGGAGGTTCGGCGGTGCGTGAGCCTTCGGCTGGCGAACGTGGCTTGATATTGCGGCCGAGCCGTAATATGGCCTATGAGTGGCTGGTGAGAACGGGGGTACGAGGCTCGTCCCGCAGCTGTCTGGTTCGTCGACAGCAACCTCCAGTTATTTTTCCGCAGGCTCGGACAAGCTGGCCAATGGGGTTACAAGCTGGATAGTGCGGAATCCAACAGAGAATCGAGAAGAATCCAGGTTCCTGGCCAAAACAGGCCGTTTCGCTTGACGCAGCAAACACACGTGCCTGCATTGTCAAAAAGGGGTTGTTTGTGGTGTGGCAAGGGACGGGAATATCTCCGATTTGATCCAACGGACAAAATGCACAGGACGACTAAGATCCGACGGTGATTCGAACCATGTTTTGACAACATCCGCGTTTTACAGAATTGCGAAACATGTTCCTGCAACAACCTGATATCATAACATCACTTAGGGGAGCTGACAAATATACGTGTGTTAGAGAAGTCATGAAGCAAAGGATTGAAGCCATCTCTGGTGTAGGTATTTGCTGCGATAATTGACAAAAACTCCGCAGACGGGATCTGAGGCAGGTTTGAGAGAAACAACGAACGGACAAACAAATGTGTTAATCAGAACAGGCCAAGCAAATTCACATAAACATGCAAGATTACCTTATGTGCAGATTACCTTGGGTGTAGACTTGACATGAAAACGAATTGTGAGAGTTGTGGCTAGAGGGTCGTATGAGAGAGAGTGCGTCTAGGAGGCCGAGGGGATATCGGGAATGAGACCTCTTGTTTGATTAGTATACTGCGAGCTATACAGAATCAATTCCCTTACCGAGCCGCGAACACGATCCACTGAGGCTGGGGCAGAAGCAGCAGCATCAAGTCTTTCAAGCAGCCCAAAATCCGTTGGAAAGAAAATGTCTGCCGAGCCCTGTAAGAAGCATGGGGGCATCAGTGCCAAGGAATGGAAGAAAAGGATTATATAGGCTCCAAAAAAATGTATGCCGAGCACTGCGAGAGGCACCGGGGCGTCGGTGCAAGGAAGAAATAGAAGAGTTTAGGTGAACCAAGGACAAACAAGCTGCTAAGAAATCAGTAAATCAAAGTGGAGCACGCTGCAAAAGGAGGAATGAAGCATAAGTGATTGTAACAATCACAGGGTGTACTGGTGCTTACACGAGGGACGAGGTATGTGGATTGGTCTTGAGTGATGCCTCCCCCCTGATGTTGTTGGCATTAGAGGGATGAAGGCATGGGGACATGGAGGCATGGAGGCATGGAGGCATGGAGGCATGGAGGCATGGAGGCATGGAGGCATGGAGGCATGGAGGCATGGAGGCATGGAGGCATGGAGGCATGGAGGCATGGGGACATGGAGGCATGGAGGCATGGAGGCATGGAGGCATGGAGGCATGGAGGCATGGAGGCATGGAGGCATGGAGGCATGGAGGCATGGAGGCATGGGGGCATGGAGGCATGGAGGCATGGAGGCATGGAGGCATGGAGGCATGGAGGCATGGAGGCATGGAGGCATGGAGGCATGGAGGCATGGAGGCATGGAGGCATGGAGGCATGGAGGCATGGAGGCATGGAGGCATGGAGGCATGGAGGCATGGAGGCATGGAGGCATGGAGGCATGGAGGCATGGAGGCATGGAGGCATGGAGGCATGGAGGCATGGAGGCATGGAGGCATGGAGGCATGGAGGCATGGAGGCATGGAGGCATGGAGGCATGGAGGCATGGAGGCATGGAGGCATGGAGGCATGGAGGCATGGAGGCATGGAGGCAAGTGAGAAAGTGAGAACGCGGAGCACGGGGAGAGAATGGAAACAACGAGTGGCAGGGTCACATACTCACCTTGGCAGCAACCAGAGGAACATTGGCGCGTGGGATTGGCACGTCAGGGAGAAGAGAGAAGTCAGCAGCAATTACAGTGGCGTGGGTGAGCTGGCCCACAGTACCGCATCAAACCCCACCGCACCGCCTTACACAGCTCACCTTGGCAGCAACCAGGGGGCGTTGGCGCCTGGGATTCGCACGTCTGGGAGCACAGAGAAGTCAGCCGCGATGACAGTGGCGTTGGGGCGCGCTGTGTATATGGCGTCCAGCAGACGCTGGAGGGCAGAGAGGGGAGGAGAGGGGAATGAGGTGGAAAAGAGGCGGGAAACGGGGCAGGGCGAAGAGCAAGGAGAAGTCAGCAGCAACGACCGTGGCGGGGGGGTTGGGGGGGTTGGGGGGGGGAGGGGGCTGGGGGAAGCAGGGCGGAGGGAGCGGGGCGGGGGAAGGGAAGTGGAGAACAGGACAACAGCACTCACCAAGCATCCTGTGGGCAGCCAGAAAATTCTCTCTCCGCCCACTACCGATGCCAGCAGTGCTTGCAACGACGCAGACAGCTGTGCCAGCATGCCGCCGCCGCGGCTGCTGCTGGTGGTGGTGGTCGTGATAGTGCCAGAGGATGGGGTCTGGTTCTGCAAAGCACAAAAGCGGGAAACACACAGATGAGACGACGAGGAAGGGGGTGTAGTAGAGTGCATGGGAGAGCGCACGCGGGAGTGCATCGGAGAGTGCATGTGACCGTGCGACGCGTCCCTTGGGATACTTTCAAGTGCCCTCGATTCAGAGGCAGTACAGAAGCAGTGAGGTGAGCACCCTTGACTTGACTTGTGCGCCCAGAAAAACTTCCGAGGCGCCTCAAAAAGCGAGCACCCTTGACTTGTGAGCCCAGAAAAACCTCGAGGCAGCAGACAAAAGCAGAGGCCCTTGCTGAGGTGAGGGGCCTCGGCTTAAACACCCGGGAGGCAGTCGCATCGAAACTAGACAGCAAGTGTAGCTTGGATAGGTCTAGGCCAACACTTGCTAGACAGCAGGCAGCAACAGGCAACATTGAACTTGCCTAGACTTGCTGAGCCAACACTGTACGGACAGCCTCACCAGGGCAGCAGCAAGGCACCGGTGAATGAGTGGATCGTTGACGGGTCGAAGCACCTCGTACGGCCTTAATGCACCCTCCTCATTCCCACCTTGATGCCTCCTCCCTGCCCCCTTCACCTCTCCTTCATGCCCCTTCCCTGCCCTCTCCTTCTCCCCCTCTCCCTGATGCCCCATGCCTGCTTCCCCCTCCCTTTCCCCGTGCTTCACTCGTGTTTCCATCCACTCGCCCCTCTCCCTGCTCCACTGCACCCTGTCGTGTGGCAAATTGTCCAACACCTGGGGCCGAGGTGGGGGAGGGAGAACAGCGGATAATGGGAGACGGATGGGGAAGAGGAGGCAACAAAGAGCTGCTTCCTCACTCGCTGACCTCCCTGCTCCAGTGCATTCTGAGAACGGGAGATTGTCCAGCACCTGACTGAGAGAGCAAGGGGAGGGGGATATCAAAGAGGCATTAGCATTGTGAAAGGATATGAGTGAAAGGACTCCACTCCACTCAAGATTTCCTGCCGAAGTTCTCTACCGACTGAACTTTTTGAATCGACTCAAAAGTCAAAAATTGGCGGCCAGTTTTCTCTACCAATTTCAGAATCTCTCACTCTAAGAGTTCCCTGAGAATGCTGAGAATCCTTATCAATCAGGTGAATCAGGTGAATCAGGTGAATCAGGTGAATCAGGTCACTGGAGGAAGTCTGGTGGTGCTCACCTCGAATAGGAGAATGAAGCATGGCTCGTTGGATGGTGCACCTGCGAGGCACACATGGCATGATGGCATGAGGCCGTGATGGAAAGACGAGACAAACAAATAAATGAGATGAGATGAAGATGAGACCATTCAAGATGGTGGAAAACGCAAACGCTCATGTCCCACGAACAATCAGTCAATTACCACTTCTGTCCTTCCCCTCCTTCTGCCCTACACACAGCCACCAATGCACCCTCTTCACACCCCTCCCTTGCCTGTCTCCTGTCTCCTCACCCACCCTCCCTCACTCCCCCGACACGCACCCTCCCCTCATACACACAGCTGCACTCACCCCAGCCGCGCACGTCAGCAGCATCAAACACCGCCACGGAATGCACCGACTCATGCGAAGGCCGACTCATGCACTGCCTTTCGCGATGCTCGTGCGACTCATCCAAAGCATCACGAGAGGCAGAGCCATCCCGTGCACCCTTGGCCACTCGCCGCGCTCTGCGAACACTCAAAGCGGCTCCACCGGAATTTGGGCTGGCTGTGGAAACGGAAAGAGGTGGTGCAGGTGTGGCAGCTGAAGAATGTGTGGCGGTTGTAGCAGTCGAAGCATTTGCACGGCCTGTGATTTTCTCTCTTTGTCTCTGGGCGAGAGCAGGGCTGATTTCCACAGAGCTGGGAGACAGGAGAGGGGAGAAGGAGGAGGGGAGAAGACGGGAAAAGAGGAGCGTTGGCAAAACAACCAGCAGGCAAAGGCATACCGCACTCACTCACTCTCTCTATCGATCACTCACTCACGCGTATCAGCAGCGCCCATGCACAGCGGTAGCCTTCTCCTGCAGTCTGGACTTGAAAACATCTGCACTGCTCACTTTCTCGCTCACTCACTCACGTGTATCGGCAGCGCCGGTACACAGCAGGAGCCTTCGACTGCAGTCGGTCGAGAATGTTGCGAGCCAGCGTGCCTCCGCCCCCTCCCACCTCATAAATCTACTGTTGGGGGTTCGCGAAGGGATTAGGGCGGTAGGGATGGGGTTGGGGTGTTACGTAGGTCGGGGATAAGACCTAACACAAAGGGGGTTTGAGGGGATTGTTTGCCGCCACACCCTCCCACCTCATACATCTACTGTTGTGGGTTGGGAGGGTTGGGAGGCAGTGCAGGAGGGAGTTGAAAGGGGGTTGGGGTTGGCAGGAGGGACGGCAGGAGTGCGAATGAAGTCTGATCACACAGCATGGAAAGCATGCAGATAGGTAGGTGCCAGATCAGCTCACCTTCAGAGGTTTGGTGGGCGGGTGGTAGGCGAGAATATAGTCCGCCACAGCATAGCCGTACCATGGCTGATGGAGGGAATGGGGGAAGGAAGGGAGGGAAAATGAGGGACGAAGATGCTAGTGTTTGCCACAGCATCGCTATAACATGGGTGGTTGATGGGGGGAAGGGGTGATTGCATCATGGTTGAAATGAAAACGCACACACCTGGGTGATATTGGGAATGAACAGCAACAGAAAAATATGAAAAAGATGCAGCGAAACAGGAACGGACGCCTCACCTGAATCGCCTGAAACAACCATGCCCGAGTTTTAACCTGAAACACGAACACCCGTCTCTGTGTTTTCACCTGAAACACGAACACCCGTCTCTGCGTTTTCACCTGAAACAGCTCCGAGGGCGTGAACCAGGAGGTATCAGCAGAGGCGTAGAGCAACTGCTGCAGCGCCACCCACTCCCGCCGCCCCGCCAGCTGGCGGAATCTGATTGGCTGCGAGAGGCCGCCGACAGCAGCAGCGTTGGATGTGAAATAACCCTCCGTGGGATGGTAGAGGCTGGTGTGAATGAAATCCCGCACCTGAGTTGGAAAGAAGGGGGAAGGGAGGGAAAAAACGGGAAAGGGGGACGGTGTGGGGCGAGGGCGAAGATTTGGGGGTTGTGGAGAAAGAGGAGGTGAAATAACCCTCCGTGGGATGGTAGAGGCTGGTGTGAATAAAATCGCGCACCTGAATGGGGAAAAAGGGGAAGGGGGAGTGTTGAAGGTGTGGGGGGGGAGTTGGGGGAAATGGGTAGAGAAAGAGGAGGTGAAATAACCCTCTGTGGGATGGTAGGGCAGGTGTGCATAAAATCCCGCACCTGAGAAGAGTGTACGGGGAAAGGGAGGTTGGTGTGGGTGTGGGGCGGTGGGGGGTTGGGGGTTGGGGGAGGAGGAAGAGGAGGTGAAATAACGGGGGTGAAAAGGAGGGAGAGGGGCAGAGAGGGGATAGAGGTGAGGAAAGGGGGTCGGGGGAAAGGGAAAGGGAGGGCGGGGTTGGGAAAGGGAGTGGTGGAGGGAGAATGGAGAGAACGGCATATGCATGCTCCATTGTCACACCATGCTCCATAGTCACATGCTCCATTGTCACACCATGCTCCATAGTCACATGCTCCATTGTCACACCATGCTCCATTGTCACACCATGCTCCATTGTCACACCATGCTCCATTGTTACACCATGCTCCATTCTCACACCATGCCCATAGCCAAATGCTCCATTGTCACATGTACAACCAGCGCCATAACCGCCGCTCCTTACAAGCACACCGTCTGTCTCGTCTCTGTCCGTCGCGGCAGCCGCCGTCGGATCTGCCGATCCATCCTGCGGCTCCCCGCCAATCGCGCTGACACCATCATCCCCGTCGCGCGTCGCCCTCCCACCTCCGTCAACTCCGATTCCGTCAACCCCGGATGCGAAACGGCGATATTGGTTCAGGACGGGCGAGACAAAACTGAACGGAATTTGAGCGATTGTATCGTTAGGTGCAACTATCGATGCCACGTGTCTTAGCTGTGCCTTTCCGGACGCATGGAGGTTCGGCACAGGAATGTTTCTGGTCCGGCGCTGCGGAATAAGCCATGCCAAACCTAATGGGATATTATTAGGATAAGTTGACCGTGCGAGCTCGATCGACGAGGTCCATGCGGACGAGCCGCGGAAGGCGAGTGTCGAAGCAGCGCGGCTCCACATCGAGCGATTACGGATTCGCGACATGGTTCGGCCGCAACGGGATATGCGGCACCATTCGCGGAAAACGAGAATTTGGCTTGTATAATCTTTCAAATGATCAGTCTGAAACGGGTAGAAACCAGTTTCAGAGTTTACATTATAGTCCAGTACACTAAAGCTCCGCTATCATTTTAACTTTAGCGGATAATTCAATCGTCGGAACACCACCACAAGAGCACAATGCAGGCCATAGGGATGCTTTTCCATTCCCCTGGCTTAATTTGTCGCTTTCTCACTCAAACCTCAATTGACCTGTTGTCGCGTCGCACCTTTCCAAGTGTACTGTTCACACGTGTCCTTCTCGGTCTCGTCTCCTCTCCTCCCCTCCCTCATTTCCACAACAACCCATTTCCCCGGCGGTCGATCCGCCCCCCCGTGCGGGCGGGGGCGTCTCGGCTCGGCATCTCTTTTCGCCACTCTTTACCCACTTTTCACCCTTCCCAGCACCTTTGCGCTTCTCTTCGCCTCTCTTCGCTTCTCTTCACCTCTCTCCTCACTTCCTTCTTGGTAGTGGCGAGACAAGACCGCAACTACCACACCACCCAACCTTCACAATTACCAAGGGCTGGATAACACCGAGTATCGCCGCAATGTAAGGTAGTAGTCTAACGCCATAACCTCCTCACGACGCTTCGTCTAACATTCCTTGGTGTAATCGCATTTGGTTGTTCGTCAGCATTCGTCCGCCGCCCACTCGTTATTTCCGACGGCGGCAGATTTGATGCCAGTAGTACTAGTGCAAGTAGATCGACGGTCATTTCTATTAGAGACGAACGGACGGCTGAGATCATGAACTCAGAGACCGCGGGAAACTCCTCCGGTCGCCGCCAGCCGCCACCGGCGCGCAGCAGTCTTTCGATCGACTTGGACGAGTCGAGTCGCGGCCGACAAATGGCGGCGTCCGGTCGCCGCGCGCTCTCCATCGACATTGACTCCGTCGAGAAACCATCCGCGGGTGGCGGCGGAAGAAGCGGCGGCGACGACGGCGCGGATGACGCCGCACTCGGCGCTGCCATGCCGAAGACGCCGTCGGAGCGCGTACGCGCTATAATCATGCAGGCCGCCTCGGAGCGGGAGGACGCGGTCAAGGCGGAATCGAGAGGGAAGCAGCGCGCCGCGGAGCTCCACGCGAAGCGACTGCGCAGTCGGCGGGGCGGCATCGGTAGTAGCCGGCGCGCCGGCAACAACGCTAGTAGCAACAGTCTCTCCGAGTCTGATCGCGATGCGGCGTCGTCTGATGCGCTTGCGCGCGAGGACGACGCGGCGAGCACGGGAACCGGCGGCGGCGGCGGCGGCGGCGGCGAGAATTATGATTCGCTCGTCGATAGCGGATACGGAGATTTTGTCGCGGATCGGGATGATTTTTCTGACTATCAAGGAAGCGAGAGCGGGTCGCACAACGACGAGATACACGGCGGCTTTCACGGCGTGTCAATTAGTCCGATCAGGGCGGGGCCTATGGGTCCGCGGTTCGGCGGAACGAGCCCCGGCAGCCCCGCGAATTCGGAGAGCCATCTGTTTCGTCGCGGTCCGAAGGGCTATAGCGATGCGGGAACGCCGATGAGCGACGACGGCCGAAGCGCGGCCGGCGGTGACGTGGCAGAAGACAATTTCGGAGAAACCGGGGAGGGTGGAGTTGGGGATTTTTACGGGCAGCGGAAAGTTGGAAACGGGTATATTCAAATGAACGCGGCGGGAACGGTCGCGTCGGGGTTCACGCTGCTGGATATGGGGGGTAAACGGCAGCAATATGGCGGATATTATCGGGTAAGCTTAGAAATTAACCCACGTGAGGCCATGCGTGCGACGCACACGTGCGCGTGTGGAGCGCACGTGAAGGCACTCGCTGGCACACGCGAGCTGATGATGAGCACGTGTACATACTACATTTACACGCACGCACGCGCATAAGTCGATGCACCTCACATACGTGCATTCATCCACATCAACGGATACACACTCATGGGCGCGCGCGCGCGCGTGCGCACACACACACACAAACACATAAATTGAGCAAATCCTTCAGGTTCAGTGAATGTCAGTACGTCTTTTTCCCGAGGCTCCTCAACAAGACCCCCTGTTGATCAGTTTCACGTCTGTGCATTACGATTTCATGAATCCAGTAGCATATGTAACCCGTTCCGCCCCCGTCAACACACAGGTCATTCCATCCCCATCCCCATCCCCATCCGCATACGTATAAATCACCTCCATACCGCACCCAGCAACTCTCACAATCCCTCGCATCGCCATCTCCTTTGCTTCCTGCGCGCTACCTCCCCATCCCCCTTATTGAGACGATCTTTGAGGCGGATTCATTTTGAGGCGCCCCAAGATTCACCCTCTCATGCGCGCTGCGTCCCCATCCCCTTCCTTGAGACGTCTAATAAGCTATTTGATTCCCAGCAATGCACAATCTAACGCTCAAAAGTTGATTGCCCCACCTCGCTTGCTTCCCCATCTCTCATGCCCAAACCCATCTCTCCTGCCCAAACCCATCTCTCCTGCCCAAACCCATCCCTGCCGCCCAAACCCATCCCTGCCGCCCAAACCCATCTCTGCCGCCCAAACCCATCTATCCCCCCCAAACCCATCTGTCCCCCCCTAAACCCATCTATCCCCCCCCAAACCCATCTATCCCGCCCCGAACCCATCTCCTCCCCCCAAACCCGTCTCTCCCGTTCAAACCCATCTTCCCCTCCCTCTTTATCATCCCCTCCCACTTTCCTCTCACTGACTCAATATGTCCTGCTTCTCCCTCCAACTATCCCTTTTCTCACTCCAACCATCCCTAATTTCTTCTTTATCCCCGACTTCCTCACACCCCCACATCCAAAGTCATCCTATATTCCCCCCTCCTTTTATATGCCCAACAATACTGATTGTGAAAGGCACGATCCCACTTTCTGCACGTGCGGGCATCACGCGTGCCCAGAGACACAGAAATCAGTGCTGATTGTGACCCTGCCCGGCATCTCCCCTTTTCCATTCCTCCCTCACCCACACCCCCAGTTTTTTTTTAGAATACTCAAAAAAACAGATCCCCTCTTCTTCATTCCTCCCTGTATTCTCGTTGTGCAAAAGATTTGATATTTTATTTTTATTGAAGCACAAAAGACCTGTAGTGATCCTGCTGCTCTGTCTTCTCCGCCCTCCTCTCTCACACTAGCAAACGCACCCATTTCCCCCCTGCTTTCCTTTCGTCCCTCTCGCCCCCAACTCCAGTACTGGCAGCGTCTGGAAACACAGAAGACCGTATTCATTGCGTCGCTCGCTGTCTTCTCCTCCCTTCCTCTATCGCGCTCCCAAACTCACGCATTGCCCCTTTTCCTTCCTTTTCCCCTCTCACCCCCAACCCCAGTACTGGCAGTGGCCGGAAACCCAGAAGACCGTATTCATCCTGCTGCTCTTCCTCCTCTCCTTCCTCCTCACCGTCTTCCTCACTCTGCTCTTCACCTTCATGTTTGTTCCACGTCAGCAGCAGCAGCATCCGCCCCAGGAAACACCACAGTCCTCGTTACAGTCACTCCCATTAGAAAACACCCCATTACAGTCACCCTCGTTACAGCCACAATCAGCAGACTCGGGAGCACAGTCGGGTGAATCCCCCAATTCACCACCATCAACTGTAGTACAAGGATCAGAGGATTCATCATCACCATCATCACCATCACCATCACCAGCATCAGAAACACCTGCTGAGTGGCCTGCTTTGGACGTATCCCAGCCTCCAGATGTGATGGTCGGCTCTCTCCAAGTGAAGGTGAGCCACTTTTTGAGACGCTTAATAATTTTCAAACAATCTTCTGCTTTAGAATTGACTCTGCCTCCAGATGCTCTCTGCAAATGAAGATCAGTCACCCTCCTCAGAATCCCCATTCTTCTGAAGTGAGCCCACGTCACATGTGCTGGCACTTGCTTCCCCCTTCACTCCCCTCCTCCGCCCTCCCTATTTTGCCCTGTTCCTTTACCTAAATCCAATGTACCTTCCGCCTATTTTTGACACCACCCTCCACCCTCCAACCTCTTCTCCCCATGTCAACCCCCCTTTTCATCTCTTCCCCTCAACACCCCCCCCCCCCCCCATCCCTTTCCCCCACTCCCCACCCTTCCCCCGAACCACTTTTTGCCCACCTCCCGCACGTATTATATCGCAGTACTGGGCCACGTGGCTTGATGACAGGTATGAGACGAACCGACCCGACATGCCAGGCTACCTCTGGGCGAGGCTACAGTTCCAGCTACACTTCCCTTCGCTTAAAACTTTCTTATCCGCAACCCAAAACTTATCCATAGATCTACTCTACCTCAACACCTCTCTCGCCCCGCCCGATAAGGCAACATCATACCCAAAACCAAGCCCAAACCTCCTCCCGTGGCCGACTCTAGACTACAGTGCGCTGAACTCTACAGAAGCAGATTCACAAATAGTTAGAGCGATATGGGAGTGTAATAACTGTAGAATTCCAGGGGGGCATGGAGCGGATATGGAGGAGGATGAGAAAGATGGCGAGGTGCTGGTGGTGATGCGGGTAAGAGTGGATGGGAAGCATATGAGAGTGGTCGGTTCGAGCCACGTGATTGGTCTGAATCGGACGGTCACGCTGAATGAGATCGGAGGGTCCAGAGGAGCCACTCGTTCACGGCAAGGCATGGACTTTGTCTTTGCTGTTGTGCCACATAAATGATGGAAGCGGACTTCATGAGAGTGCTCAGTACGGCAGTGAAGGTCAATTATATTGACAAACCAGACTATTTCTAATGTGGCGACTGGTTTAACAGGTTGGGTTGTTTGGGTGCTACTGGTGGGTTTTATGTTCAGGCTGGTTCGGCCAATTGCGTCTAGGAATACTGACCTCACAGAAAACCAGACTTCAAAGGAAGAGTGTGAACATGGAGACACCCTATGCCGTCAGAGCTTTGGCTCATTTCATTTATTAGGGACTCGACCTGTACAAAGAAAAATGGTGCAGAAAACGTACCGTAATCTGACCCATCCCCTTCCTGAGATGTCCTGCAGCCATTCAAACCAGCTTAGACTACCCTCATGCAATGCCAGTATTCATACAATTCTTTGCCTCATCCAGCCCTGAACTGAGAAGTCCCTATGTCGACCATCAGGCTGCAGCCACAGCAACTTCGTCTTGAAGTTCCTCACCCTGCTGCCGATTCTCCACTGTAGGCTCATCAATGGATCTCTCATCAATCTTATCAGCATCACCAGAAATGTCAGCGGTAGCCTGAACTTCACCAGACGCATGATCCTCCACAATCACCGAAACCTCAGTCTCTTCTTCGCCTCTCGAGTCGTCGAGAGTCATTGCTTCAACCACGACCAGCGCAGGATCCTGCTCATCCCCGCTCCCTGCTGCAGCCACCTCTGCAGCTTCCTCCTCTTCTGCCGCCTTAATCGCTTCCTGAATCGCGACTTCAAACGGCTCTTCCTGAGCGCGGAACTCTAGCGAGTCCTCGTCCTGAGTTTCCGGAAGGGTGTCAACGCCGGATTGGCAGACAGGGAAGTCGTCGAATGCCGCTCGAGGAAGCTGCTCACTGATTCCGAATCCAACAGAAAAGTGGATCAAGCTTGAAGTGGCGTCGTCCACGTAGATCGATCTCACTGAGACCCAAAACGGCAACTCCGGAGGCTTCGCGGAAATTCCTTTGACGTTTGAAATCAATCCGTACTGCAGCCTGCCGGTAAGAACGGTTGAGTAGTAGAGCGGAATCTCACCCGTGTTGTGCACGGACGTGCGACAAGTGGACGGTAACTGCACTCGGAACCATCCCTGATTATTGATTTCAGCCTTAATAACAGTCTTCGGCAGCAGGCCGACCGGGAGGCCGTTTTTCTTCAAAGTTTCAAAGGGATCTGGGTCCAAATTAACGGGCGAATCAACTGATTCAGTGCTTGGCTGCTGTTTAGTCGCGAGCGGTGGCGAGATAGGAAGGAATCTGGCGGAAACCATGCAGGCGCATCCCAGAACCAGGAAGAAAGAGACCAGCGAAGGTTGAGCCATGGCCAGAACCGGTATCTAACCCTGCACCACTCCTCAGGAAGAAAGCCAACGAACTAGGCAAAAAAAGACAGAAAGTTATGCTGTCAGTGGTTTCCCTCACTGAGGGACATACCTACAGGTTGTGGTTTCGGGCGAAGCTAAGACATTAGGGCGCGTGTCTTTTGGTTTTTACATGCAAATCTCGAATTTTTTGTTGAACTGTAGTCATATGAACCTAGCTCGAGCTAGGCTCGAGTTTTCACCAACTGCAAACCGAGCCGCGGTTCCACCCCTCCCGAAAATCACGCGACAAACAAAAGTTCAACTATCGAAGTTGAACTTTTGCAGCCCAGCCGAGCCGCGACCTACGCTTGTAGGTTACCCGGTTTGGGCTCTTGACATCGCGCCACCGGGACTCGCGCTGACGAGCACCCTCGTGCGCACGATGCTAGCTGCGAGCGTCGCAGACTTCGCATCGTCGCTGTCAGTGATGAGGTGGACACACGCTCGCACATTCGTGCCAACCTGTTTGTTGATGAGGGTTCAACTTGGGGGCTCAACATTTTCCGATGCCGGAAGTGTACGTGGACACACGACGTCCTGGCGAATGTTTTGACTAATTAACGAAAAGGGTAACCAGCAAAAGTTCAACCAAAAATCCGAACGTCTACACCAAAAGACACGCGCCCTTACTTTACACACTTCAGCTTGGCCTCCCATACCGTACCGAGAGGCAGGCTTTGTTCGAGGGGCCCGACTGAAAAAGGGCCGAACCTAGGGCTTCGCACACCAGTGGCCAAAGGTGATTGGTTAATACGAGCCATTGGTGGGTCGCGCCATGAAGAGGTGACGTGCCAGTTTCAGCTCCGGCAAGGATCCATGTCATCTTTCCAGCCCCCTTTGCAGTTGTCGTGGTAAACCTTGACGTTTGGTCTAGGTTTGGCAGACAAGGCTCCCTGCCACCTGGGTTTGGCGGACGTATGGGTGAAACGACCGGATAGGGCGTGTATCTATCTATGCGTGACGTTCCGTTCTTTCGACGACGCACTGCATTCGAGCATCAAAAGATTGCCGAAACCAGCAGAGACTTTCGGTACCGGCGTGACTTCGGTACCCTGAAAACGGCTCCTAGCTTGAAAGGGATGTTGCACGATGGCTGAAGTTGCAGTTTCCACGGTGCGTCACGACTTGGTAAACAGGTTGGCCCCGTCGTCCACCAATCGACATCCAAGGCATAATCGCACGACCCATCGCGTTTGGCGTGAATAGAAGTGTAGAATGATGTAAATTCTCACATTACAGTTGCGATAGCTAATGTTCACATGTTTTAAAGTTCCCCCAAATCAACAAAATTAGGGTGTTATTATGCTTATGTAAAAGCAAATGGGCTGGGTAATTCAGTAAAAAAACGTCAAATTTCCGAGGCTATAGCGTTTTTTTCTAAGAAATATAACTGAAAATATGCTAATGTGTTTTCATACCTGATAGTTGTAACATCATTTGGCCCATATCCGCTAAGGAACAGCGAATTGAACCTATTCAAGATAAAATGCGGTGGAAGAGTTGATGAAGGGAGAGATAATGAAATAGGCGAACTACACGAAGCCCCCAATACTGAGAACCTAAATACACGAAGCCCTCTATACCGAGGTTGTCCATTCGGTTCCAACTGAGGACGTATTCTTGGCTTCGGGTCATCCCGGCTTCATGTCATCCGAAATTTGCGGTATCCAATCGAAAAAATCGGATTTCGAACCACGTGTTTTTCGATTGGCTGCCACAATTTTCGGATGACACAAACACCGGATGACCCGAAGCTAGGAATACGCCCTGAGACCATTTCTTCTGCCCCCCAGACTCATCTCAACAGCACACACCATCGAAATTGTACAGCCAGGAGACACCCACCAAGGCCCTGTTTGGCAGGCATTATGGCCATTATAGCCTTAATGGGCATTTTTAACGGGCCCCCAAAAAATGCCCCCTGGGCATTTCACGAAACAGCTTCGAAGTCGAATCGTAGCTGCAGAGCACATTCGAAAAAAAGGGGTTGAGTGTTTGGTTGGCATTATTTGGGTGTTTGATGGCATCAATCGACATTTAGGGTTTCGCAGAAGATGGGAGGCAGTTGCTATGATAGATCGCGTGATCATGTAATTGGCTGGCATATTTGACCAGTCACTTTTAATTGCCCCGAATCACTGATACCCCGCATGGTGCGGGGGATCGGAAAATGGGCACTTTGCCAGAGAAAATGGGTTGGGTGTAGATTCCGGCGGTTTGAAAACGCCTCCAAAAAAAGGGGTGTTTGGTTGGCATTCCATTATTGTTAGGTTCGGCGTAGTCCGCTTATATCGAGCCTTGATAGCCTTTCACGCGCTTATCAGAGAAGGTTCCAGGTTGGTCGGTTCACTGTAGCCCATCCCCCCCCGCCCCCTTTTTGATGCCTGCCAAACCCGGCCCAAGCCCGGGCAACTTGCCTCGGTGCTGCCCCACCGCCATCTGCCCTCCATGATGGTTCAGAATTGGATGGCTCTTGTTACCACGTGACGGAAATGATCGGCTCTTGTTTCGCACCCCACCTTTCCCAAGGTGCGTCGGTGATCTCCTGTCCTCTTCGACGCACATGACTGCCTGCCCGGCTGCTTTGGCCGCCTGTTGGCTTGCCTGTCTGCCTGCCTGGCAAGTCATTATTGACACTGGCTGGGGGTGTGTACTGCCCGTACCCTACCCGCTCAGTCTCATTCCCACCACGGCCACGCCGCCTTTCCAGTGGGACTGTAACCAGGTGGCTGATATGTCGCTCCAACTGTTCAGGCTGTAAATGTTGGCGTGAGGACCCTAATTCAAGTTTTACACACTCCGTGCAGCCAGACTAAATTTCGTCACTTCGCGAGGAGGGAACTTACGGACGGGAATTTGCGTTCAAAATTGCGTATCTCGCAGATATGGCGGTGGCGTCACTGCGTCTATTCATAGCTCGTGCATGGTTAGCTCGTCAGTTGGTGTTCGTAATCTCTCAGCCTCGTCGATTAGTCCAGGCTGTCGTTGTCACGTCGCCACACTGTTTGTCGTCGCGAACGCCACAGTGTAATGCGGATCGTACGGCCATCATCACTTTCAAACATCCGGCATCATCGAGACGAGAGGGAGCGCTTGTTGGCTCGGTCCGAGCCGAACGACGTACATCGTTGAGGGTTTGGCAGGAGCCGAGGCCACTCTAGCCTTCCCATCGCCTCCCTGAACTCCCAGGCTGTCACGTCTCGACCGCCAGTGGTGCTGCTCGCAGTGTGAATTTGACTTGAACTTTGCTAGTCATCGTACACCCCCGCCCCGACGCATGGCCACTGGAGCGTCTAAACTCAGCGGGACGGGTTGTGGGTGTGTGTTGTCACGGCTGCGACCACATACTGTAGTACAGTTTCTTAGACAGAACAGAACCATAATCGCTAGGCAGTAAAAGGGGAAACCAGCAGTGGCATCTTTTGCGCAGCTCGCAAAGCTCCCCTGTTCTTTGCCGCGCGTTAGAGCCTCGGACTCGCCTAGTGGGCTCGGGATACGTACACGTGGAAGTAGTACCTGATCGGATTCGCTGCCATGGGGTGGGAATAATGACAGTGAAACACTGCGGGAGGGTGTAATTGCATTTGCGGGTGAGATAAACAACGACGAATGACTCTCGCCTAGCTCTGCTCTGTTGAACAGTTAGTAAAATTAACACTGCTAAAAGAAGTGGGTTTTTGGCTGGGATGACCGAGATTAGGTTAAACTCGGATCACCGCTTCTAGAATAGTCCAAACCGGACCTTTACTCCCCGGGAGTTGCGTCATGTGCGCATCATCAGCTCATTATCATCATTATCATGTGTGCGCTCGCCTTGGTTGCAAAGGCATCTCGGTATCTTGAAGATCTGGAAATCGCCAGCGCGACACTTGCGCATTACGATGGTTCAAACCGGCACGCCGGAAAGCTGGCGGGAGCAGAGTGTGGAAGAAGCACGTGGGGGGTTTGAGTTCATCCTTCTGTTGGAGGCTGGACTGCCATGCTGTCAAGAGACTCATGAAGTCGCATTCCTTCTAGAATAGCTGCCTTCCTTTTACGACGTCTCAACACGCGTCATAGTACCTCTTGCGGCGTCTCAAAACGCGTTCGGACCTACGCTCACCCTTGGAATTCTCCGCGTTCTCTGCGGTTGTGACCAGCTCTTTCCAACTGGTATCGTTAGGACATTCAGATACCTCCAAGCAGCGACGACACCCCCTCTCAGAAAGCAATTCCTATTCCTACCACTATTTCGGCCCCTTCAAGGGAACTTCCCTAAAAGTTTTCGCACATGCATTACTTCGCGTGCGGCACCATCGTCAAAGCGGTCAACGCGGCGGTCAACGCGTAGGTAAACTCGGTCAACGCCGGCATTGATCGCGTCAGAATGGGTTCCAGCGGCGGCAGCGACGCGAGCAGCCTGGCGGAGTTCCTATTCGGAGCAGCAGCAGCCGGCGGAGGTAGTAATTCGTCCCCCCCTGTTGTGAGTTTCACGCCTCAAGCCGTGACTTCACGTGCCACCAACATGACGTCAGACGCAGTCCACTGCATGGAAGCCATGGCAGCGGCTAGCAGAGGCGCCGCGGCTCAATCCTCAGCTGCTGGTGCTGCTGATGCTTCATCTGCCGCAGCAGGTGCTGCTTCAGCTGCTGCTTCCGCACACATGGAATGGTCCCTTGGTCATCAGTCCGCTACTATGGCCGCTACTACTGTCGACAGCAGCATGAGCCATGCAGGATCGATGCA